ACAAAATATGTGTGATCCTCAAATATCCGCCTGAACATATGATACATATAAACAATGCTTGATGTTAAGCCAAAATGGTGTAAAATTGTATCAGTATTGCACATACAATCATGGCAAGGTCTGACAACTAGATACTTATTTCAAAGCAATGTTAACAAATTACGTCTTAAAAAACACACAACCAATTACTTCTATGGAACATCTAATGTAGCACACATAAAATGATTTTGCTTACACTGTGTGGATGTTGATATTTGAAAAGGGACATCACATATATACTGCTCACAAAAAGTAGGGGATATTGAAATTAAAATCAGTGGCACAAAGACAGTAATATAGAGGCCTACAAATAATTTATGTATAATTGAGGAAAAGCATAGGTCCGTCTGAGCATGCCTCACAATGACCACCAGATGCCCTTGCATCCAGGAAAATTGCACCCAAACGTACCAGGGGGTGGGGATGAGAAATCACATCTTGTGTCACACGTGCAAATGAAAAAATCCAAGTGCCTCACGTGCAAAAATGGGTGTTAACATGTGTCTTGGACCAAGTTCATCCATCACTTCACCACTTTCCACAATGCGAAGGTTACGAGAAGACGAAAGATTGAGAGCAATTGGGATGATCCAGGCCGGAAGAACGCAGGCCTACACAGCAGCACAACTGCATGTCTCACCGTCAGTAGTCAGCCGGTTGCGGGCACGTTACATTGCCACTTCAAGAAACTTCAAGGGTTCAAGACAGACCCCGAAGTGGTCGTCCAAAATGCACGACCAGACGTGATGACCGGCGGATCATCACTGGAGCCCTCCGTGATCGACGTTTAAATGCGACACAGCTGCAGCAGGTTCACAGACATGCCACTGGGAATCTCATCTCCACACAGACGGTACGAAACCGGCTCCATGCTGCAGAACTTCCAGCAAGGCGACCTTACATCACATTACCCCTAACAAACCGTCACAGACAAGCCCGGCGAGAGTGGGGTCGTCGTCACCAGAGGTGGAGCAATGCCCGGTGGTCCCATGTGATGTTCAGTGATGAGTCGAGGTTCTCTTTAGACTTCAATGATGGCCGTCATCGTGTCTGGCGTCGTCCTGGTGAGCGTCATCAGCCAGCTGCCATGATTCCACATGATCGGTATGGGAGGGGTTCTGTTATGGTGTGGGGTGGAATCACGGTGACAGGCAGAACCGATCTCCACATCTGCCAAGGAAGAGTTACGGGTGTTTACTATCGGGACAACATCATCACGCCACATGTCCTGCCATTTGCACACCGTCACGGACAGGGTTTCATCTTCCAGGACGATAATGCCAGGGCTCACCGTGCGCACGTCGTCCTTAACCATTTGCGGCGGCACCCAATTGAAACTCTTCCATGGCCAGCGATGTCCCCCGACCTCTCCTCTATAGAGCATGTGTGGGATATGCTCGGAAGACGAGTGCAGAGGCGGCATCCCCCATGTCAAGACTTGCAACAACTGGGCGTGGCACTCCAAGAGGAATGGCAGAGGATTCCCCAAGTTCACATTGGTCGCATCATTGGGAGTATGAGACGTCGGTGTAATGCTTGTTTGGCTGCTAATGGTGGGCCAACCCGGTTTTAACCAATTTATGACTTTTGGGTTTCTACCCCTCATGAACTTTCCAGTGTCTACAAAATGAAATTGCAGCTGGAACAAAGTCATTACTTTCAAAACTGTTTCTTTACATTCTTATTTCCACATTATTATTGTTTCCCAATGAAAATTAAACATAATTCTGAATCTTTTCGTCGTAACTTTTCAATATCCCCTACTTTGTGTGAGCAGTATATATAAAAAACAATAATTTCAGATTTGCCTGACCAGGAACCAAAAATCTCAACCAGATAATAATACTAAAATAGTTTACAAAAAAAACCTACAAAATTCTGATAAAAATAACTTATGGATAAGCTACGAGTCATATCCGACCATCTTGACATAGTCAGCAGCTCTCATCGTCCTCCAAAATCAGGGCATATCATGATATTGTGGCTTCTATTTCCGAAACGTACCTCTCGAACATGCCGGCACAGCCTGCTGTGTGTTGAAATTAAGTTAAATTAACAATGTTCGAACTAAGGTGGGTCCTGGGGTCCGTGAGGTTTGTTCCTTTAGTATTTGAATCAAGGAACCCCTAAGTTAGGGCTACGACAAGGACCCCTTAACTTCCATGCATCAATTTTGAGTTGATGTTTCCAGTTTCCATATCTGGGCCCTTACATGTAGATACCAGTAACTGAGGAGGGTCTTACGTTGTTTTGAACAGTATTCCAGAAAATATCACGGCAGGTCAGCTTGATGTGGGAGGAAAGCCTGATGAAATGCAGTGTCAAGACTTTTACCATGGTCAAATTCATGAGTATGGGTATGGTGTAGACAAACCCAGAAACATCATTGACCCCAACAACTGTCACCCGTGCCGAACACAGAGTTGCAATTGAGGCAGGATTAACAGACTTCAGTCATAAATCCCTTATTTCCTGCTTAGAAACAAAAGGCAAAACACATTTTCCGAGGCAATGAAAGTCACGTGACATAGTTAACTTCGGCTCAATTGAACAGCTGTTTTCTATCACTTTTGGATTTGTTTTAAATCTTTTAACAATGGCAGATTAAAACATGTCAGTAAGATAAATCTGTTGTAGCACCGGGGATACATGGGGTTTTGTGAGTAGGAGTTATGGTTTATACATCCCGCGTTAGGTAAAGCAGTGTCAAGACTTTTACCACCATGGTCAAACCCATGGTGCAGACAAACCCAGAGGCATATCAAACCCACGTGTAAAAAGCGACTGAGTCACCCATGCCCCATCTTGGTGCAACTGAGTCAGGATTAACAGTGCTTCAGTTATATCATGGTGAATAACTCAATTTAGGAGCTCCTTGACTGAACATGCAGTGAAAATAACAGTTTACAAATACAAGGAACTAATGGTTGATATCATGTGTTGCATTCAAACATATCCCATTCCTCCATGTTTTATATCATGAGGCAAGTATCGTGATACAGCCATGAATCATGCCATCCTTCTTAGAGTAGACCCTAAGGATACCGGGATCATCATTCTTTTGGCATAAACAATATTGAAATTTGACCGATTTTACAAATTCTGTAAGCTTGACCACGCGATTGGTTACAATTGTAATAACTAAACAAAACACATCTACAATCAATATCAATAACTTCAGCCTGTGAAACACAACATAGAAATCAGGGTTCTAGCACTACTAAACGTAGATTGAACACACAGCTGCTGGAATTACCAGTAGAACAAACAACAAAAACACCCATCTTTCAGTAAACATTTCCAATGGACAATCTGGTGAAACCTGAGCCACAGAAATGGCTATTATATACTAAAACACTTTATAAACGCATAGTAGATTTCGACTCATGATAAGTAAGAAGGGACTGGAGGCTTGCGTCCGGGTATGACAACATGAATGAGGATTCAAACTCAGACAACATTCGTGTAAAGTTGCATGCCTTCAGGTCTCACTACCACGTGCCAATTTCTTAGTTTTCTGTCAGTTCACTGAAAACTATTTTCCAAATTCCACTATGTGTTTTCCTATTAATTTGTCAGTATACCTTTGGAACATTCAATATATGAGTGCATCTTCATCATTAGCATCCATATAAGACTCTTTGCATCTCCTAACTTACTTAGGTGCCCTTATGGGTTTTCCACAGAGTAATTGTATATGCTTAGTGCATCTTTGGTTTCTGCTCATAAATTTCAGAAATCCTACTTTTCTGATAAAAACTAATTGAAAAAAACATACCAAGCAAGACATCAAACATAATATATACCACAGGATACTGATGAGTCATAATTCTTTGATTCTAAATCAGTCTTGAGCTGTAATCAAAATTATTTCTCTTGTTTCTTTTCTTGGCCACATGAACATTCAAGACATGATTTAAAACAATAATATATACTACTCAAAAGAAGTTAAAGAACACCATATTCTTTCATCTTATTATTGTTAATCTGTGAAGCATGTAAACTATTGTAATATGAAAGAATTGTCTGTTCCTTAACTTCTTTTGTGTAGTATATCAGACAAGTATTGTTTTCAGCAATACACATAAATTCAGTGAAGAGACATTCAACTATTTTTGGCCATTTGAAATTTTTGTTGGAACTAATGTCACTAAAGTAACTAATACAAAGCACCACTGTGAACAATAAATAGTTGTCATGGTACGTTCGTGACACTCCACGAACAAGCACACATACAGGACACTGACTAGAAGACATTCCAACACTCATCCAAGAATCCATCTAACTCGTACACACTAATCACATTGGAATAAATGTATACCTTTCTAAAAATGTATAGTAATATAAATGAATCTTATCTTTAACTTCTTTTGAGTAGAATATAATGCTACCAATACTGTTGTCCACAAATAGAGAGTGACAGAGTGTGGTTTATTCTCAGACAGTATGACCATCATGATATAATGTTAGTTTTCATAGTTTCACGTCTTATGGAGATATATAGTGCACAGAGCACTTAAGTACAGTGAATGCTGCGCTATACAAATGCATAAATTATTATTATTATTATTTTCCTTTCTCACATATAGATCTGGTTGTTATTTTCGTTAACATTGAAAAAAACCCACCAAAATGTAATGAACTAGTATTTAAACCCTAATGCAAATCAAACAATAACTAACAATAAAAAACGTAAATGTTCTTATTTTTAATTCCACTGGACAAAGGCTTGCCTCGGTCAGCTGCACTTCACCATCTACTGTTGTCCTGATCATGGACACAGCTCTTGGAAAAGACAGTGTGAATTTTGTGATTTGGCTATTTGTGTTGGGTAGGTATACTTGTGTAATATCATTGAAAAGATATCACAATGTGATAAAATTACACTTGTTGGAACACTTAGATTATAAGGTCACCCATTAAACTTCCGTAAATGGGGAGGGGGGGGGGGGAGCCGGGGGGAGCACCATGTGTAAACAGGTGATGTGATGACCCAAATATATCCCAGTGAAGAGATCTGTAGTCTTTCAGCAGCCATCACACTGGCAAAGAGTGATTCTACTTTCTGCTGCTCTTAAATCAGTAACAATAAAGGTCAAGGTCATGGTGGGGTACAGATATCGGGATCGGCGGGACGCACACATACACCTCAGGTGTATCCACTCGTACCGCTACCTTCACTTCATGCTTGGTAGTCCTGGCTGCTCTTGACTCCAGAACCAACACTTTCTGATGGTAACAAACACAGTTTGATTAATTGTAAATGACATACATTAACAACTGAATTGTTGCTGTCTAAATATACATTGAGCTTTCAATATCACAAGTAGCAACAAAAATAACGTGAATATCGTAACGAACAAATGATGGATTTCAAAGTAACACATGGACACAGCATGCTATGAGATTCTTGATTTTCACAAACACAAAATATATTAAAACATTATGGAAAATAAACTGACACATGATGATATGGATTTTAAACATTGTTAAAGTTTGGTCAGTGATAATATGAATTATCCAGTGTTTAATATCTGAATTCTATTTTCATAAATACCCTGGACCCATTTTCGTCTCTACTCTTGCTTCATCTTGACCAGAATCGAAAACAATGCTAATAATAACCATTCAATCAAATTGCTCTCATGAGCAAGAGAAAAACTGCTAAACTAGAGATCAGAGGAATGGCGGTGGTAACGCCACTTCCGAAACAAAGCTTCAAAGTATTTATCATAATAGAATGGAGATGTCTTGCACTGGACAATCAAAGGTGATAATGTATTTTTGATTTTCTATTCAAATGTGTCATGCAATCTTCAAATGAGCAAATACAATGCACCAAAAACAAGAAAACATTGCTGATCCAATAAATCCATATTCACTGAACCAAACAACTCAGCATTTCTTTCTCAGTCTGCAAATACAAGCTTCCATATATTGTTCCATACACAGTCTGCTTCTCCATCTGCCTGGCTGACAGCCTCGGCTGAGTGAGGGGGTCGGGCTTGGGTATGGTGCTGACAAACCTAGAAACATAATCGGGGCGAACCGGGATTCGAACCCACAATTATAGGTTTCTGGCGTGCCTAAGGAACGCAACTCTGCACAGCGAATCGCGGCGCCTTAGACGACTGGGCCACCCGTGGCCCCGTTATATCAAGAGATGCAGGACATTATTGGTAAGTAAGGACCACAACACACTCTAACCCTGATAACAATATATAACCATTAGATCGAACATGTCTGTAGCAGGCTTACTCTAACCCATCGAGCCCGCATAAAGTCTTCAATAATCAAATACATGAGACACAGCATGGTGAAAACATATTCCAGACACAGTTTTTTATCCAGGTTAAATTTGTCCTTGCTTTATCAAGAAATATTCACAAACTTCTTCAAAGAACCAAATATGCTGCTTAATTTCAAGTTTGTATGGAATATAAACAAACAGCCAGAAGATGTCAACACCACTTTCAAAGACATTCTGTGTCCCGAGGCAGGGCTCGAAATTAGAAAAAAAGGGTGTGCCCAAGGGACTTGTTTTACAGGCTTGCCATTTTCAATTTAGGTGGTGTGTCTATACTACCCAATTATTATAACAAATAGCAATAGTCTGCTATGACTATCACAACAGTCAACATGAATAACCACTTCTATTTGAAACGCAAGACCTACGTAATATTTGTGATACTCCTTCAAATTATGGAAAGAAGCAAGTACATTCAAATGTATTTCGTGCAATCTTGACCATCTTGTCTGTAAGATACAGTCAACGGAAATCACCAAATAATGCTGATTCATTTTACAACAGGAAGTCGTTAAGTGGTAATGGAACATGCAACTAACGAGAGAAAAATTTTCATTTCATAGTACATTTTAGTCAAAACAAAAAATAAAATTAACGTAAGTACTTTTGATGAAAATGACCATGCCCATGAGGCAATTTTCAAGCATGCTATTTTCTGTGTATATATTCCATGGACATGCCCGCACTTGTAATTTCAAGCCCGTTGAGGTTAATAACATTTTTTTCTTTGAAAATGCTCGTTAGCCCTGACCTATTAGCATGATTAGAAATAAGTTCCTGCTGTATTTGGCCAGGGATAACTGATAAAAAAACACCATACCAGCAAAAATGGTCTGGCAAAGAGACAAGGATCTACCGGTATTTTAGCTTACTAATTAACACAGTGATGAGAATATTTTGGCCAACATGTGAGACATGAATGTGTCAAAGTCTTCTACTCTTTGGTTATTCAACTTTAGCAGTAGCTGATGGGGTTGCTATGGCAACAGATAATGCTGGGGATGACTGGCTGACAAGTTGCATAGGGGTCACTGAAGACAATGTTGGAGTATTTTCATTGGCTGCTTGTACAATCGTCATGGCGACAGATGTCAAGGGACTGCGAACTGTCTGAGCTGTAGACACTGCAGATTGGAGGACATTTTGTGGAAGTTTGACTGCTGACTGTGAGGATGTGGACAGAAGGAGGGCGTCAATGGTGGTGTTGTTGGCGATTGTTTTGAGAACACTTGTGGGTGTGTATTGCGTCTTGAGGCTCAGAGATTGGGCAATGGTAGCTGTCTGTGTGGTTCCCATGTCAACTGTCTGGTGCTGCTGAGTACTATGGTTACGAAGGCCTTGGACTGTCTTGTAACTCTTCCCGCAAAAACATTTGTAAGACTTTTTCACACTGAAACAATAAAAACACATTTGTACACATTGGAAAATATTCGTTGTGATTTTAGAGATACATCAGCTTCTTTTTGTTAGCGCCACATACATGTCAATACTACACACATGGCAAGAGTGAGTGAGTATGGTTTTACGCCGCTTTTAGCAATATTCCAGCAATATCAGGACGGGGGACACCAGAAATGGGCTCCACACATTGTACCCATGTGGGGCATGGCATGGGTGAGTGATCGGGGATATGATGACATGAATCAACCAAATCAGCGAACCTCCCCATGTACTCGACCACTCGATCCAGTTAGTTGCCTCTTACGACAAGCATGGGTTGCTGAAGAAGAAATACCAAATGGATGCTGCACAAATTATACATACACTATCTTAGCCTCCCTCTTGTGTCCGTGTCTTGCGTGATACTTGATCCCATTGATGTTCTTGTAGCGCTTCTTACAGCCTGGCACGGGGCAGGCGAACGGCTTGTCTCCCTCCTGGTCTTTACTGCCCATCATACTGTAACATCACACAGCATACAATGATTACTCCCCTAGCTTTATATTTGGACAATAATCCCATCTCATGTAATCTATAAGGGGAGATAAAGCTGGTGGTTTTTTTTCAGTTTGTTGTTTAACGCTGCAGTGCCATATTTCAGCTAAATGAAGACGGTGGATAAATAACCGAGCCTGGACAATCCATTAATTGACATCATGAGCATCAGTCAAGCAACTGGGATACGATGACATTCATCAACCAAGTCAGCGAGCCTGACCACCCACCCCGTTAGTCGCCTCTTATGACAAACATAGTCGCTTTTTACGGCAAGCATGGGTTGCTGAAGACCTATTCTACCCCGGATCTTTATGGGTCACCTCTCATTTTTCTGTTTTGATACAGCCCTTCTATTTTGTATATGCTACAAGGGGCACCGTCAATTTTATCTTTGTTGTAAGTGACATGTTGATAACCACCATTTTTCTGGTTGCGAAGGCTACTGAATGTGCTCGAATGTTGTCATGTTGTCAAATTCATGAACATTTGATAATCTTGACCTTGTTACACCTAAAGGCTCTTTTGTATGATGTTATTCAAGTTAGTATCTATGGCTACAAAAGGTAACTTAATGATAACAACGAAAGTTTACCTGGGTCTATCTATATGTTTGTCTCAGGAATTATTTCAAGGGTTCCTAGGTATAAAACCGTGAGTCCCAAGTTCACCAATGTGACATACAAGTTTGGCATCTACAGACGGCTGACATGTGACACCCAGATATTTTTACATGTGGTGCCCCCCTCCCCTCTCTCCCACAACACACAGTATCTCAACACTACAGCTGGTCCCCCTTGTGTCCTGTGTTGTATGTCATGACACATGTGTTGTATGTCCCTTGTGTCCTGTGTTGTATGTCATGACTCATGTGTTGTATGTCATGACTCATGTGTTGTATGTCATGACACATGTGTTGTATGTCATTACACATGTGTTGTATGTCATGACTCATGTGTTGTATGTCATGACACATGTGTTGTATGTCATGACACATGTGTTGTATGTCATGACTCATGTGTTGTATGTCATGACTCATGTGTTGTATGTCATGACTCATGTGTTGTATGTCCCTTGTGTCCTGTGTTGTATGTCATGACACATGTGTTGTATGTCCCTTGTGTCCTGTGTTGTATGTCATGACTCATGTGTTGTATGTCCCTTGTGTCCTGTGTTGTATGTCATGACACATGTGTTGTATGTCCCTTGTGTCCTGTGTTGTATGTCCCTTGTGTCCTGTGTTGTATGTCATGACACATGTGTTGTATGTCCCTTGTGTCCTGTGTTGTATGTCATGACACATGTGTTGTATGTCCCTTGTGTCCTGTGTTGTATGTCATGACACATGTGTTGTATGTCCCTTGTGTCCTGTGTTGTATGTCCCTTGTGTCCTGTGTTGTATGTCATGACACATGTGTTGTATGTCCCTTGTGTCCTGTGTTGTATGTCATGACACATGTGTTGTATGTCCCTTGTGTCCTGTGTTGTATGTCATGACTCATGTGTTGTATGTCCCTTGTGTCCTGTGTTGTATGTCATGACTCATGTGTTGTATGTCCCTTGTGTCCTGTGTTGTATGTCATGACACATGTGTTGTATGTCCCTTGTGTCCTGTGTTGTATGTCATGACACATGTGTTGTATGTCCCTTGTGTCCTGTGTTGTATGTCCCTTGTGTCCTGTGTTGTATGTCATGACACATGTGTTGTATGTCCCTTGTGTCCTGTGTTGTATGTCATGACTCATGTGTAGTATGTCCCGTGTGTCCTGTGTTGTATGTCCCTTGTGTCCTGTGTTGTATGTCATGACACATGTGTTGTATGTCCCTTGTGTCTTGTGTTGTATGTCATGACACATGTGTTGTATGTCCCTTGTGTCCTGTGTTGTATGTCATGACTCATGGGTTGTATGTCCCTTGTGTCCTGTGTTGTATGTCATGACACATGTGTTGTATGTCCCTTGTGTCCTGTGTTGAATGTCATGACACATGTGTTGTATGTCCCTTGTGTCCTGTGTTGTATGTCATGACTCATGTGTTGTATGTCCCTTGTGTTGTATGTCATGACACATGTGTTGTATGTCCCTTGTGTCCTGTGTTGTATGTCATGACTCATGTGTTGTATGTCCCTTGTGTCTTGTGTTGTATGTCATGACTCATGTGTTGTATGTCCCTTGTGTCCTGTGTTGTATGTCATGACACATGTGTTGTATGTCCCTTGTGTCCTGTGTTGTATGTCATGACTCATGTGTTGTATGTCCCTTGTGTCCTGTGTTGTATGTCATGACTCATGTGTTGTATGTCCCTTGTGTCCTGTGTTGTATGTCATGACACATGTGTTGTATGTCCCTTGTGTCCTGTGTTGTATGTCATGACACATGTGTTGTATGTCCCTTGTGTCCTGTGTTGTATGTCATGACACATGTGTTGTATGTCCCTTGTGTCCTGTGTTGTATGTCATGACACATGTGTTGTATGTCCCTTGTGTCCTGTGTTGTATGTCATGACACATGTGTTGTATGTCCCTTGTGTCCTGTGTTGTATGTCATGACTCATGTGTAGTATGTCCCTTGTGTCCTGTGTTGTATGTCAACAGGGACGTATGTCAAGCTGACAAGGTAAGGATGTCATCTGTAGGATGACTCCACGCCCTGCTACATGCTCTCCCGTCAACAGAAGGCACGTCCCGGGCCGCATAGTAGGGTACTGAGGCTTATTTTGCTCAAATTTAATCTGAACGTGCTCAGCCCCACGTTGGGCGCCAATGTAGCAGCCATAAAATTTCCGAGTCCCGTGATGGGATTCAAACCACGGACCTTCTGATCAGAGGTCGGACGCCTTGTCCACATGACCAAAGAGGTTAACCCCGTCAGCAAGCTGACATCTGTGAGATTACTCCACGCCCTGCTACACTGACAAGAAGTAAACCTCTTCACCCTCTACTCAACACACGAAGTCCTCACCTGAGTATTGTGTCTGAGGAGAACTCCTCCTGTGTGGTCCATGAGTCGTTGCTGTCCTCCTCGTCATCACTCCTCACCTCCTCCTCATCTATCTCACTCCCTGCAGTGGAATAACACACAGCTGCAGTACACGGTATAACATATATGATACCAGCTGGACACTGTCAGGATGATAGGGCATAACACAAGTCAAGGATACCAGCTGCACACTATAGAACATAACATAAGTATATGAAAACAGATGTACCCAACAAGACATAACATAAGTATAGGATACCAACTGGACACTTTAGGACATAACATAAGTATAGGATACCAGCTGGACACTATAGGACATAACATAAGTATAGGATACCAGCTGGACACTATACATGCTATAGGACATAACATAAGTATAGGATACCAGCTGGACACTATACGACATAACATAACTATAGGATACCAGCTGGACACTGTAGGACATAACATAAGTATAGGACACCAGCTGGACACTATAGGACATAACATAAGTATAGGATACCAGCTGGACACTATACAACATAACATAACTATAGGATACCAGCTGGACACTATACGACACGACATAACATAACTATAGGATACCAGCTGGACACTATACGACATAACATAACTATAGGATACCAGCTGGACACTATACGACATAACATAACTATAGGATACCAGCTGGACACTTTAGGACATAACATAAGCATAGGATACCAGCTGGACACTATACGACATAACATAACTATAGGATACCAGCTGGACACTTTAGGACATAACATAAGCATAGGATACCAGCTGGACACTATACGACATAACATAACTATAGGATACCAGCTGGACACTTTAGGACATAACATAAGCATAGGATACCAGCTGGACACTATACGACATAACATAACTATAGGATACCAGCTGGACACTATAGAACATAACATAAGTATAGGATGTTGCCTAGTTACGCTGCTTGCCGCTACATATTGGTTGGAGTGCTGTTGGGGAGGGGGATGATATCATGGCACAATGTTGCCTAGTTACGATGCTAATTGATACGTTCCAGTTGGAGTGCTGCTGGGAAGGGAAGTGTTATCACAACACAGTGTTGCCTAGTTACGCTGCTTATCGATACATACCGGTTGGAGTGCTGCTGGGGAGGGACATGGCTGGTGACTGGGGACGGACTCTCTTTCTGAACGGGTCAGCATTCTCCTTCTTGGCTGCCTCTGTGAAAAACCTAAACAAATGGAAGCGGAGAACAAAATGTAAAGTTGTGGAAAATAATTATCTATTTGTCAGAATCAAAGAAGTTACTGAATCATTTGTGGTAATTTGTATAGATTATGCTATCAGAAACATCTTGTGTTATTAGGTAACGTTTCAGTTAGATCTTATCAAAGTGCAAGTTCTTCCGAACACAGAAGCATCACCTTCACCGCCATTTCTAGAAGGCACCAGAATCATCACCACCAGCTTGGTGAAGTACATGCCCAGTACAACCTCAAAACAATTAGAAATACCCTGGTTCCAGCTGACATAATGACGACCATAAATGAATTTCTGCTAATATGACAACTGCTTCCAGTTTGGAAAACAAATTTACAAATTTATATCAGAAAGTCCTGTGCACTTACAGTATATCATTTAGATTGGTGTAAATACATGGCACTTCCAGTCTGTGTTAAAGCATTCTGAATCGATTTGGCTGAACTTGTATTTTAGCATTATATTCAGCAGATATATTGACTTGTAAAAGCTCATCTTGCTTGGCCAGAAGAAAGTTTATTAAACTCAGACTTCGGACTAACGGCCAAGGTTGCAAACTACATATACAGTGCTACTTAAAAACTACATTAATAAGAAAGTTTTTTGCACTTCTGGTTTCATGACGTCACTTCTGGTTTGGGAAAGAACACATCCAATGCAAGACAACATTCAAAAGAAAGTCCCACAACTAGCTACCATGGCTAAATTAACATGCTAATAAGAAAGTTGCATGCACTTCCACCTTAATGACATCACTTCCAAGTTGACAAAACACATGCCTAATGTAAAACAACTTTAAGACAAAACGTTCCATGCTTCTAGCTAAACTAAACATGTTAATAGGAAAGTCATATGCATTTCCAGTTTAATGACTTCATTTCTGGTTTTGGAAATCATATATCTCATGCAAAACAAATACAAAACAAAAAGTCCCATGCCAATAGTACCTTGATTAGAAAGTTATATCACTGTCAGTCTAATGTTCCTAAACTTTAGACAATCGTATTCTTATTATTTCTATTTGAAGAGAGGGTGCTAGCTCTGTCATGACATACAGGTCATGTGACCACAGTGGGTCAGTACAGTACACAAAGCATTTCAGTGACTTTGACCTTCAATGAAGGTTACACAAAACCTTACCAATTACTTAACTTCCAAAGGATGACACTGATCCTACTATAGTATACACTTCTTGTATATAATACATTTTTCAGTGTTTATGGTGTATGACCTTGACAGTAACTTTGACCTTCACTATCAGTTTCTATGCACATATGATGTCCCTCAGTGGAGTTCAATTTAACAACAAAAATATAGCATGTGCTACTCATGGAAGATAGATCACCATGTACCTACTTCTGACATATCAATATTGTCATCACTTGTTATACATAAGTATTCAACCATAATAGAACCACTACATGCATCAGATTTAAAGAAAATATCTGACATGATAGCGCATCTTAGTGAAAACAGCAAAGATACTTTCTGAAAGACATTCATCATGACCTTGACCTTTAAATGAGGTCACTCATGACCTTTTACAATCTCAGCCTAGCCCTAAGGATGACATGTACTTGTCCATAGTTTTATTGACCTACAGTGTGTGCGTGTGTGTGTGCTTGTGTTTGCTTGTACTAGTTTGGACTAATGCCGATTTTACAATGCTAGCCCACTTAGATACCATGCTGTTGTTTAACATGAATACCCAACACTGACACAGTATTCTGACTCTGAGCAAACCAGTCCTTGTTTTAGCCCGATAATGCAGAGGGTCAGGCAGGGTAGCAGCAAGTACCATTTTGGTTTGACACTGGTGGGCATTGACGCCATGACCTTCCGCTCTCTGGGCAGACGCACTACCACACGGCCACAGAGATGGTCTTCATGCTAACTGGGACCTAAATGAGATGATAATTTGACACCCCCGAGGTTTCAAAGCACTGCATAGTTAAAAAAGCAAAGTGTGTTCGCAGAGGCGTTAAAATTGTGACATGTCCTTAAACGTGTTATATGCATCCCCATTTACCACTTGGCACTGAATCATGCCAATAATTAACCATGGCTGCTACATTTAAGCTACAGTCTTTTCCTCCAAACAATCACTGGTTTAAGCATGTATATGTTAAGTAAGCAGAGCTCCAGATAAGCTTTTGGTGTTGTGGGTATTTTACTCATGCATTTTAAAATCATTCTATCTGGGTATTCAAATTTCACACATGTGGGTATTTAAGTTCAATATTTAAAAACACTATTCATCTAGTCCCTGCAAACTTGTGTTGTGTGGGTTCGAGAGCTTTATAGGACTCAAAAATACCACGATACTTTCATAAGAAAGTGTGATGGCAAATGATCATGATGTAACTGTCATCGTGGAGTTTGGCAAGGTTGACGGAATGCCCGTTTATAATTTCAAAATAAGTTGCTGATTTGCTAATCGAATACGCAGGGTTACTTCACAATATTTTGATGATACACACAAGTTTTATTTTTGTAGCGTATCTGTAATCATGGTAATGTTCGTTGCGTATTTGATATGCTTGGATTTTACTGTATATTTCTGCATATCTGATGCGTATTTTACGCAGATACGCAGCTTATTTGGAGCTCTGAGTAAGTGAGTAAATATGATTTTGTGCCATTGTTAGTAATCTTACAATTTCATGTTTAGGCTACAGCCTTTTTTTCTCTAAACAATCATTGGTTTAAACATGTATATTTTAAGTGGAGCCATTGTAAGTAATTTACAACTTAATGTTATGGCTGCCAATAAATAGTCAAATCTGAATGAAACAGACCATTGACTAACCATGCAAACAATCATCTACACTGCAGAACAAATACACACAATCAGACCTAAAGTACCTGACTAGATATATTGGTAAATATTACATCAACGTCACCTCTAAATGCACACCTTATACGCAAGAAGCATGAATACACACACAAAGTTGATGACTAACACAACATTGATTAAAGGTTGTCCTATCTACCTCAAGACGTAACTAAGGGCGAGAGCTGATGGCTGTTGGAGTTCCTGTTTCTCTAATGCACGAGGGTCTGTATCTAGAGAAAGGGAACGATGAACTATCAAGATCAACATTACAAATAAACAATCTTATAACGATGGTAATATTTCCAAAACATGCCAAAGGCAGACAAATTAATTTCATCTTTTACAGATTTTCATTGTAAATATCAAACAAGGAACAAAATGCACTGTTTCTCACTTGTGTCTTAAAATCATCTGCACCCGTTATCCAGGTGAGAATTAGTCTCCAGCAGCCTAAGCTGGTTGTAAGAGGCGACCAAACGGATTGGGTGATCTGATTCATTCACTTGGCTGATTGTGGGTCATCGTACCCTGAAGGAGTGGATCGTTGTTCACAATATCAATCACGGGATTGTCTAAACTAGGCTTGATTATTTCGGGCTGCACTCCTATAACTGGAATACTGATGAGTGTGGCGTTAAACAAGAAACAAACACAAGATGATCTGGATCACACACAGTGACCATCCAATCCTCATTTCAGTCAGTTGTTAAGTCTTGTGACATGGGAAACTCAGGACCTGTTGTGACCTGGACTCCATGGGGAGTATCCCTTAGTGACATCAAATGAATGATCAACATGATCTCACACTCACAGTGAGACCATACCTGTAGCAGATCGTCCTTTGGAAAAACATCAGATTGTATGGTAGTATACAGTTCTGCTAAGAAGTAGACAATCTGTCCATAGGTACATGTCCACAGTTAGGAGTTCTATAGTATTCTTTCATATACATTTGGTAGAACAGACAGACAGAATGGCCAACAAAAAGACCCATATAACATAAGCTCTCATTGACTATGTCAAGGTAAGCTCAAAAGTCAACCTTTACTGGTGCTTCAAACAAATATAATCAACTTTTTAATACAAAAGTTGACTATGACTAGACACAAGGGCTGCAGAAATACAATTACTGACTTTTCTGATTCAGTGGTTGCACTTCATTTGTCCAAGACTAAAAATTCAAGGAAGCAGAATTAAATATATACATTCTGGTATTTACACATTATGATTCATGCACTTGAGTGTTTAGTGAAGTTGGAGGACACTGATAAAGAGGATCACGACTCATTAGAAGTGTGACAATGGTTGATACATTGCTGATAAGTAAAGCCTTAAGTACCCAGGCACCCAGGTTTAACGTAAATGCCCATGAATTGCAATACACAAGATGCAAGACACTGTACACTGAATCAGATCCTGATCAATTTGCCTTAAACTCCAGACAAGCACTTTTACCTTTTATTTGCCAAAGGACAAGTAAACATTATTTCAAATTCCACACCCATCACAAAGAGGTGAGGTGAAATTTGGTTTAACGTCTCGTCCAAGATTATTGCACTTATATATAGCGACGTGCATGCACGAGTGTGTGTGTGGCTGCTTGTACTAGTCCGGACTGATATCGATTTATAGTGCTAGCTCACTGAGATACTATGCCGCAGCTTAACATGAATACCCCACTCAGACACAGTATGCTGACTCCGGGCCGACCAGTCCTTGTTTTAGTCCCCAAATGCCGAGCCCCAGACAGGATAACAACAAGTACCATCTATTAACGTCTTTTGGTACGACGTGGCTGGGGATTGAACGCCGGACCTTCCGCTCTCCAGGCGGATGCGGTCCCAAATCAAAAGGAAAGGTTTGGGTGTAATGAAATAAAAATGGTTTTCCATGTTGCTCTGTTATTTGCTCTCTGACCAGGGCCCACGATACACAAAGCTGTTCACAGCACTACATCATAAGCCTATAAGAAACTGCACAGTTACGATAGGTCGTAATGCTATGAGGTGAGGTGAGGTGAAATTGGGTTTAACGTCGCGTGCAAGATTATTGCACTTATATAGCGACGTGCATGCACGTGTATGTGTGTGTGTGGCTGCTTGTACTAGTCCGGACTGATGCCGATTTATAGTGCTAGCTCACTGAGATACCATGCCGCAGTTTAACATGAATACCCCACTCAGACACAGTATACTGACTCCGAGCCGACCAGTCCTTGTTTTAGCCCCTTAATGCCGAGCGCCAGACAGGGTAACAACAAGTACAATCTTTTAACGTCTTTTTGTATGACGCGGCCCGGGATCGAACCCTGGACCTTCCGCTCTCCGGGCGGACGCTCTACCACAAGACCACGGAGGCGGTCCGTAATGCTATGAACATCTGTGGATCAGGACACAGGGCACCATTCCACAAAGAGATCTTAGGGCTAAGACGATAGCAACTCTGATTGCTTTGTCAAACAAGCCCCTGTGGATGTCAGACAGCAAAAGCAGGTCAGTACATGGCTATGATTTCAATTTCACAGTTACAGTTGAATACAGACAGCTGACAGATCCTGACCAAACGATGTGGTTCATTATACACTCGTGATTAAATAATCAATAAAAGAACAACCATGCCGCTACACTAAGTGGTGTTAAAGGGATCGAGATTGCAAACGTTCGGTAATGCGGCTGAGAGGGCACTAACAATTGTCCTGATTCTTCTTTATATTAACTTTAAATATAATGTAGGTCTGTTTCCATCGATTTTGGGTACGCTATTGTCTTAGATCTACTTGCCAAAAACTACATTAGCCTTCAAAATCTAACATGAAATAAGAAAAATATCGCATAAGCAACACGGATCTTTCTAATAATACGAGAGATTTTTATGGTCCAAGTTCAAATACACAACCTGTAAGTTTGACAGCTCGCGGGAAGCTGCACGTGCGTCACCCATGCTTGTGTCAAAATGTAAACAAAGCGTCGTTGGAATGTTTTTTGTAAATTTTGGAAACAATGTTGCATGATTGACACGGATCGTCCTCTGGTCTAGTCGATTTACCTATGTGTATGTCCTCGATATGTTGGATTAGGTCTGCAAGGCATGTAAATGTCAATCCACAACCTGGAAATGCACAGTTATTTACCAGGAACACCGCCATTAGCTCACCGAGTACCTGCAGCCTCGTTTTAGCAATCTAATTATCATAACAAAACACTGACTTATTTTATGTTATTTTTATTTTAGGTGTTTAAGTTTTTCATCACAACGTAATTTATTAATATATCTGTCTGAAATTAAATCACAAATATTCGTATATCGTTGCGACGGGAAACTATACTTGCGCATGCGCTGTATCGGTCTCCTTCATTCACCTCTGGGTAAGCGTTATTGTGCAGACAGGCTCTCTCTTTGGAATCGGTCAGAATTGCTAATTATTTTGTGCCATCGGAATACTTTTTTGTTTAAATTTAAATCATTTCTATTGTGGTGATTACTGGGATTGCTATTTGTGTTGCATGGTTGTTTTCTATTAGTGAATTTTTATGATTCGTGTACATGTCGAATAATGAGAAACCGGCATTTTGCAGGCCCGACGAGAGACTGAGTCAACTGTCAAAATGTTTGCTTGCACAAGGTTCCTTCACCCAGCTGCCCGGTCTGTGGTCAGTACATTTCATTCTATGTATTGTTAAGAATATTATGTGGCATTACATATGCAGTTTGTATTTGAGTTCGTGCCCGTACTCGTCTGCATTTACTACAGTCGCCATGATTTTTAGATGCCGGTCCCAACACCGCCCATGTTATTCATGATATTCACATACTATAAAATGACAGTCTAGTGCATTGATAAAACTATGCATATATCCTCTCATCGTTAAGGTGGATACACTGTCATTGAAGAAAACATGAATATATTGGAACTGTCCATATGACCTTCGTCCCTCGACCGGCATATCCAAAGTGAGGTTTCTGACGTCACACTCGCTTCTCACACGAATGCCCTTGACGAAAGACTTTTACCTGAAATTTGATTACAAAGATTTGTGACATGTTTGGACAATAATAATAACTTTACAATGTATGTTTGTACTTTGTGCATCATCGGTTGTATCACTTTGTATTGATAGACCGTTGACCTATGCAGATTATGAGTGTTTATTCACCCAAGTTGAGCTGTGATCATTTTTAGACATTTAACACGTTTATGGGATATGGCCTATTTGTCTATGACAGTTAATCCTGTGGTATCTTTTGAGGTGCCTGTCACTTGTCTCAAGGACTCAAAGGTTGACTGAATTTGAATGTTTACTCTTACAAAATACCCTGAAAACCTGGCTATACATGTGTAAATATGCAACAAATATACAGGTATTGTCCAAGTCATTGAAGCTTATGATCTAACTCAAAGCTAGGTCCATTCTCAAACTTCCCAGATGATTAAACTTTACCGACTTCATACTTGTTGAGACCACAGTTCTAGTGGATAGAGCATCTGCAGAGTGGTAGGTGAATGGTTCGATCCCCTCGTCGCTTTATGTTCATACTTTCTGTATTGTAGGGAAACACTGTCAGGAGTCATAGTGACTTTCTTATTGCGATGTTCATGGCAAGATCATAAATTCATTTGATAACGAATGGTATTGCATTGATTTGTTATGGTTCATCAATCATTCCTGTTGATTTGACTTATTGACTTTTGCTATTGTCTTACTACATTTATTGGGTCCATGTCCTTGACCTATAAACAGCATTTTCACAAAATCGCTGCACTCTGTATTAAGGCGATAAAACAAGGACTGGAGTCTGTATGTGGTATCCATGTTAAACAGTGGCATGTCTCGGGGGGCTATCACAGTAAATGAACCTTAAGTCCAGACTAGTACAATGCATGAACACCTCTTCCCTTTGTGCCCCACATTCTACTTGGACCAAGTCTGAGGAGAGTGCATCTAACATGTCTAAAGGCTCATTATTACATATCTAATTGTGTTTATCATTTTGACATCTCTTTGAAAAACATTGTCTCTAACCATTGTATTGATACTTAATAGGTATGGTATCTAAGCTTTATGGCTCATTACTGTTTCATGTTGCAGGTATCCAGTGGAAGCAGAGCAGTGTTGAGACCATTAGGCAGCACAGTAGTAAATAATGAAGTAAGTATAGCATCTGTCTGCTGGTGACATATTTTGACACGTTAATTCTTGTGGATCGACACAGTACTACTTGTCAAAGGTATTTAGGATTTTTTATGGGCATCATTCACTACATCCTTTCATTAAGATATTTTTGTATAAAGATCGCAATTCAACTTTCATGTTTCTGTGAGTGATCAGAAACAAACATACCTGAACATCTGGAATTAACAAAGAGGCTTTCAGGCCTCAAAGTTGCGACTAAAAAAACCCATTGGTCCTAAATTTCAATTTGTCTAGTGTCTAAAATTCATGTGTAGCCAAAGGTCTACCTTGAAAAATATTTTGTGCGACTAAATTCTATTGCTACACATATACACAAAAATAAATAACAGCTGGTCTTGGTAAACACGTCTGCCAATAATTGTACTCCAAAATAATTCCTCCTAAAGTCGACAATTAACCAAAATACATAAATATTAATGTAATTAGTATTTTATTTTAGTTGTCAATGCTCATTGGATAAGCAAGGATATACCTATATAATCTGGTAACATAATTGCATCATTGTTAGTCACAAGTAACAAAAATCAAGTAGTTTCCGCTATTATACAATTCCAAGACTAGTGCTATGACTTGTCCATATTATAAGTTATTTGATAACAGATAATTTAAAATGCTTTTGGCTACCTATAATATTGGCTTGACTTTGGATTTTACACTAGCTACCTGGGAAAAAAAATATGGCTACCTGGGGAAAAAAATATGGTTACTTGGTAAAATTTGAACTTTTAAGCCTGGCATTTTTAAACATTCCTAGATGCAGTTTGTGTGTATGTGTACAAAAATCTAAATCTCCTATTTATTGGTGCATGGAGCTTTAGTGCTCAAGACAATTGCTAAAAGGAAACAGTGAGTTACTTTTCATGTCTAGTTTTCAGTCACCAAAAATGGGAACTGACATTGTTTTGATATATTTGACATGGATTCATGGCATAGTTATCTGGGAGTATAAATCTTGTTTAGCACTTACCTACTGCTGAAATAAAGTTCAGTTGAAAAGGGTTTGAATTTGATATTGGATATATTATGACTGTTCAGACGTCACAAAGTATTCTCTTGAAATGTTTCAATCTACTGACCTACGTATCAATATTAATTTTTGTCAAATTGTCCATTGGTTTTGACATTTGTAAGTGCAAGTATTAACAAATTAAGAAAAATGTTACAATGAAAAATTAACATTTGAAAAGAACATATAAAGTAGGAAACATGTCAACCTAACCGAACAATCTCTAAAGATATACAAAAAGTGAGGGTTGCATGAAACTATTAGTGATATGACCAGATGCTAAACTATTGCCTTTCATATTTTTCAATTTTAATTTTGTTACTTGCTTGTGTTACCATGGAAAAAAAATGGAAATTTTATGGATTGGCATATACATTTATATTATCAACTTGAACTAATGTATCAAGATAATGGTGGGGTGGGGACATGTTTTTATGAGTGAAAACACATTCTTTGTTACCATTGGTGGTGTTGAATTAGTTCATCATTTTCACCTCGCTACAATACACTACACCAGTGACACACCACCTCATCTGTCATTTCCATTGTTTACTTGATGATGCCCGTGGAGATCTAGGTAAGAATTGGTCTTCAGCAACCCATGCTTGTCATAAGATTGATGCATGTTATCTTATCCCAGTTGCGTAGATCGATGCTCATGTCAATCACTGTGTTGTCTGGTCCAGGCTTGGTTATTTACAGGCAGCTGTCAGTGTCACATTACTGGAATATGCTGACTGTGGCGTTATACAAACTTTGGTGAAATGTACTCTTAACTTCATTATTTGCCATTTTTGTGGGATTTGACCGGGCACCGGAGCCAACTTAATACATACTATTTAGGGGACAGCGATTGAATTTGTATGTTTTTTTTATCCCCCGCCACGAAGTGGAAGGGGGATATAGGAATGGGTGCTGTCCGTCCATCGCATTTCGTTTCGGAGCAGATCTTGAAAATCGTACCATATTTCCTCACCAAACTTGGCACATAGATCTAGTGGTGAACTGGTGCCTTTTGATAGTTTGGGATTTTTAAAAAAAGTGAATTTTCGAGTTTCCATGGCAACAACTTTGATTTTGACTGAAAATGGCGGTAGTCCTCATTTCCGGAGCAGATCTTAAAAACCGTACCATATTTCTTCACCAAACTTGGCACATAGATAGATCTAGTGGTGAACTGGTGCCTTTTGATAGTTTTGGATTTTAAAAAAAGTTATTTTTCGTGTTTCCATGGCCACGACTTTGATTTAGACTGAAAATGGCGGTAGTCCTCGTTTCCGGAGCAGATCTTGAAAACCGTACCATATTTCTTCACCAAACTTGGCACATAGATAGATCTAGTGGTGAACTGGTGCCTTTTGATAGTTTTGGATTTTAAAAAAAGTTGTTTTTCAAGTTTCCAAGGCAACGACTTGATTTAGACTGAAAATGGAGGTAGTCCTCGTCTGGAGCAGATCTTGAAAAACGTACTATATTTCTTTACAAAAAGGCCCAGTGAACATAGTTCACAGGAGCTAATGCATTGCACACACCCGACATGTCATATTGGCGGCGGATGTGAGTATTTCATGCTTGTTTTGTATGGTGGGAGTGGGAATTCTTTTGACAATCTATTTCCTTCTCTCTTCTCTCTCCTCCTCTCCCCCCTCCCCCAGCTGTACCCAAGAAACTTATTTATGGAGCACCATCAAAAATATCTAATCATTTGCACTATTAGTATTAACACAAAATAGTGTTTGGGTACTTTCCACAAAACATGTCCATTTTGGCCATGTTTCTGAACAAACTATTCATCACACCCCAGTCCCTCTACCCACATAAATCAAATGGATATACTCCTCTTAGAACTCTACTCTAAAAATATTGGATAAATGAAGATACCATTTGTTTATTGATTTTATTTTTTTTCTTTCAGCAGATCCCTCAAGCAGCTCCAACAGCAAACCTCTCATCCTACACAGGTTTCAGCGCTCTTAACATAGCCCCTGTTAACAACAATGTGTCATCAATTATCTCACAGGTACTATGCAGACATATCTCGACAACATGCTCCC